TTCTTTGAGAATCTGGTAGGACTTGAAACTGATGTTGGCTTTGTTGAAAGGTTTTAATCTGTTGATTAGTTGTCTAAATCTTACAGCACCATCTAGGATTTTATTTTTTTACCATCAGATTATTTTACTGAATTTGAATCTTTTACTAAAAATGTAGAGTTACTTTATAAGAACACTTTATAGTGTTTTGTCTTTGTGATCTCAGCTCTATTTACAAAATTGCATTCCATTTTTAATATTATTTCCTCCTTTATTTTTGAACAAATTTATCAGAAATGTTAACCTAGTTAGTTCTTTGGAGCAAGAGCCTTTCTAAATTCCCCTCATATTAAGTCTTTGTTTTCCATTATTTTTGGCCACATCATTAGATTAATTTTGTGTCTACTTCAGAGTTTGTTTTACTCTTCTAAAGCTGAAAGTTGAGCTTCAAAAATCGCTTCCAAATGCATTTACTTATGAATATACATCTGCTCAAAATTATCATTTTCACTGTATCGTACATTTCAACATGTGCTACTGGCATTCACTTTATGATAATGTTTTATAAGCTCATCTCCTTCTTTATTTTGTATAAACTATGAATGTGTGTTAAATATGAGTCTGAATGAAATAATATAAAATGTGAATATGAGTGAGAGATAGCTTATATCCAGTAAGACTTCATTATTGATGAATACATAATATAAGTTGTATGAATACACTATTTGTATGTATTTATATGATGAACACATGTTCAAATAAATGCAAAAATTTCCATGATATTAAGTATTTAGATTTTAAAATTTACTATCATAAGGAAGAACACATGGCATTATTCCAAGTACATAAATGATAGCCAGTTAATTGAGTTTCAGAAGAAAACTAGGAAATGAATAATTGTCACTGTGTTAGCTGAAATGCTAAATTGACAGGTTGTAGCAAAAAGCTTCAATCTCTGTTTCTCAAATGGGAACCACAGTAGTCTAACGCTGCTTTGTATATACTGTAAGTGCTACAAGAAGTCTCAGCACTGAACATATATTGATACTTCTCAAACGAAGGCAACCTTTGATGGAGGTGTTTGGATAGGCCTCAGAAAGTGAGTGTCCATGAATTTGTTAATCTTTTAGTAATGAAGATACTTTCTGTTCCAAAAGAAAAAAAAAAGAGTGAAGGAGAAATAAAATTTTCCCCAGTTAAGCAAAAACTGAGAGAATCCCCCACTACCATAACCCTTGCAAGAAATGCTGAAGGGGGATCCTGCATTAGAAGTAAACATCATGACAAAACCTAATTCACTCACATAGCAGATCTAAACAGGATCCAGGATGCAAAATGAAAGGTGTTATTTCTTACCTACCAATACTAACTTTGAATGTAATTGGATCAAATACTCCAGCCAAATGGCTTCGGATGACTGAATGGATAGAAAAGCAAGATCCCACAATATCCTGCCTACAAGAGACTCACTTCACAAACAAAGACCACATAGACTGAGAGTGAAGGGCTGGAAAAAAGACATATCAGGAAATGGAAAACAAAAACGAATAGAAGTAGCTATCCTGATCTCAGATTCAAACAGACTTTAAGTCAAAAACTCCAGAAAAAAGATAAAGAAGGACAATGCATTGTGATAAACAGCTCAATGCATTAAGAAGATATAGCAATCATAAACATATGTGTACCCAACACAAGACCACCTAGATAGATACAGAAATACTGTTATACCTTAAAGGACAGATAGACTCCAATACAAGAATAGTGAGTGACTTCAACACCCTACTGTCTTCAATGGACAGATCGTACAGACATAAAATCAGTAAAGATACATAGAAGCTGAAACATTCTATAGAGTGAAAGGACTTAACAGACATTAGAGGACATTTCATCCAAGGCTACAGAATATACATTCTTCTCACCAGCAGATGAACATTTTTTAAGTTAGATCACATATTAGGCCAGAAATCAAGTCTCAGTAAGTTTAAAAAGATTGAAATCATACCATATATATTGTCATAAAGGAATAAAACTGGAAATCAACAACAAGAACAATGGAACACTCATAAACACTTGGAAATTTAACAATATGCTATTTTTGCTGCTTTTTTTGAAGATTTATTTATTTACTTGAAAAAGTTACACAGAGAGAGGAGAGGCAGAGAGAGACACAGAGAGAGAGAGAGAGAGGGAAAGGTGTTCCATCTGCTGGTTCACTCCCCAATTGGCCTCAATGGCCAGAGCTGTGCTGGTCTGAAGCCGGGAGCCAGGGATTTCTTCCAGGTCTCCCACATGGGTGCAGGAGCCTAAGAACTTGGGCCATCTCCTACTGCTTTCCCAGGCCAGAGCAGAGAGCTGGATCAGAAGTGGAGCAGTCAGGCCTCAAACTGGCGCCCATAGGCGATGCTGGCACTGCAGGCAGCAGCTTTACCTGCTATGCCACAGCGCAGGCCCCAACAATATGCTATTGAATGATCAATGGGTCATTAAGAAATTAATAGGTTTAAAAAGCTTTTTTTAAATAAATGAAAATGAAAACACAACATGTCAAAACCTATAAGATCCAACAAAAACAGTATTAAGAGGGAATGTATAATAGTAAGCACTTATACTACAAAAGAAAAATGCCTCAAATCAAAGATCTAATGATGCATCTCAAAGACTTAGAAAAACAAGAACAAATCAAACCCAAATTCAACGAGGGTGAGAAATAATAAGGATCAGAGCAGAAATAAATGAAACTCAAACATAAAAACAATTTTAAAAGTTCAAGAGAAAAGCTGATTTGTTGAAAAGATACACAAAATAAATAAACTCTACCAAGACTAACAAAGACAAAGAAGAAAAATTCAAATAAATAAAATTAGAAATGAAAAAAAGACATTGCAACTGACACTACCAAAACACAAAGGATCATAAAGAATGTGAAAAGCTATATGCTGATAAATTGGAAAACCTTGAAAATAATGGATAAATTCTTGGATACTTATAACTTATCAAACAATGTAACAAACAATGAGATTGAACTAGTAATCAAAGTCTCCCATCAAGGAAAAGTGCAAGATCTAGTAGTTTTACTACTACATCCTACAAAATATTTAAAGAGGAACTATCTCCAATATTTTTCAAAACTATTCCAAAATATTTAACAGGATAGAACTTTCTGTAACTCGGCCTTTCAAATAAATACATACATCTTTTTTTAAAAAAAGAAATGATCAAAGGCACAAAAAAATGGAAAGACATTCCTTGATCATGGATTAGAAGAATCAATGTCAGGGCCAGCACTGTGGCACAGTAGCCTAAGCGTCTACCTGCAGCGCCAGCATGCCATATGAGTGCCAGTTCATGTCCCGGCTGCTCCTCTTCAGATCCAGCTCCCTGCTTATGACCTGGGAGAGCAGTGAAAGACAGCGCAACTGTTTAGGCCCCTATACTTGTGTGGGAGACCCAGAAGAAGCTCCTAGCTCCTGGCTTCAGATCAGCTCAACTCTGGCCATTGTAGCCACGTGAGTGATGAAATAAAGAATGGAAGAATCTTTCTGTCTCTGTGTGTGTGTGTGTGTGTGTGTGTAACTCTGCTTCCCAAATAAATGAAATCACCAAAAAAGAATAAAAAGAAGGCCGGCGCCGCGGCTCACTAGGCTAATCCTCCGCCTAGCGGCGCCGGCACACCGGGTTCTAGTCCCGGTCGGGGCGCCGGATTCTGTCCCGGTTGCCCCTCTTCCAGGCCAGCCCTCTGCTGTGGCCCGGGAGTGCAGTGGAGGATGGCCCAGGTGCTTGGGCCCTGCACCCCATGGGAGACCAGGAAAAGCACCTGGCTCCTGGCTCCTGCCATCGGATCGGTGCGGTGCGCCGGCCGCAGCGCGCCGGCTGCGGCGGCCATTGGAGGGTGAACCAACGGCAAAAGGAAGACCTTTCTCTCTGTCTCTCTCTCTCACTGTCCACTCTGCCTGTCAAAAAAAAAAAAAAAAAAAAAAAAAAAAAAAAAAAGAATAAAAAAGAAGAATCAGTATCATTAGAATGTCTATACTAACTAAAGCACTCTAGAATGACACTCTTGACAGAATTAGAAAAACAATCTGAACATTCATATGGAAACTGGATGTATGTATGTCAAAGAATGAAAGTAAATCCATATCTCTCACCATACACAAAATCAAATCAAGACGGATCAGACACCTGACACTATGAGGTCACAGGAAGAAACTGTAGGAGAAACACTCCAAGACATGGGTGTGAGGGATGACTTCCTGGACAAGGCCCCCAGTGCCCTCGCAGCAAGAACAAAACTCAGCAAATGAGATTGTGGTAAACTCAGAAGCTTCAGCACATTTAGAAACTAATTTAAAAACAGTAGTGAATAATCTGGATGAGAACACAATTTGATGTAAGCTGTCCTTTATAATTTGTCCATGCCATTAACTCCTTGAGGCCTATTAAGCTTTCTGAAAAGAGCAACAAAGGCACAAAGATTTACACAGGTGCACCCACAACGATGACAGGAACATGAAATCCTATCAAGATGGAATTTGGACTTTTATCACAAAATATTGTACAAGTTTTAAGCAAAAGGAATCTGAGGAAGATTTTAGTAAACATGTATAGCTCTGTGGAAAGCGGGAAGCGCAAAATGAGGAGTTTTTTCAAACAGGGCAACCACATGGTCTATCCTGCAGACATAGACAGCAATGGCTGTTGTTCCTGTGAATTTTGAGCCGCTTGTCAAGTCATATTCATCACTGCAAGAATAGTCAACAAGTCGGTATAGTGATGCTGTTGACATTTCATGGTTCAGTGAGTATTCACAGCTGTCTTATAAATGCTTATGAAAATTTACTCCTATGCATTTCTGGGAAAAGAATGAACTAAGGAAGATTACTATCATGTGAATCAGACATGTACTCTGCATTTAGCTGAAATGGGATGTGTCACATAAAAAGCATGACTAAAGTAGAGTAAGTGGATAATGAAACACAAATAAAGCATTGTTTTATGATTTGTTATTTTAACCTACTAGGCCTTTATGTCTTCGAGATGTTTGCAATCCTTTTGGTCATGTCTTTGAAAGCTTGTATCACCTGCTTGTTCCTCAGGGTGTAAATGAAGGGGTTCATGACTGGAGTAACTGAGGTTATGAGCAATGCCACCACCTTATTCATAGCCACACCTTCTTTTTCAGATGGCTTAATGTACATGAAGACGCAGCTTCCATAAGTGATGGAAACCACAATTATGTGAGAAGAACAAGTGGAAAAAGCTTTTTTCCTCTGCTGAGCAGAAGGGAATCTGAGAATGGTCCTGATAATGTGTGTGTAGGATGTAATCACACACCCTAATGTGAACAGAAGCGTCACCACAGCCAAGATGAAGACAAAGTGCTCCAAAAACTCTGTGTCGTTGCAAGTGATCTTTAGCATGGGCCCTACATCACAGGCAAAGTGATCTATGATGTTAGAGTCACAAAACTCGAAATCAAAGAGCAGAGTAAATGGTGGGGTGATGATGATTAGAGTGAGCATGACACACCCCATGAGGATCCTGATGCAGACTCTGTTGCTCATGATGGTCATGTAATGCAGGGGTTTGCAGATGGCCACGTAGCGGTCATAGGACATGGCTGTCAGGAGAAGAAACTCAGTCACACTGAAGAAGAAAACAAAAAACAGTTGAGTGAAGCATGCATTATAGCTTATAGTATTGTCCCCAGTCGCCATTGCATACAGGAATCTGGGAATGCAGAAAGCTGTAAAAGAGAACTCCAGCACAGAGAAATTCCGGAGGAAAAAGTACATGGGTGTTTGGAGGTGAGAATCCACCAAGGTGAGAATGATGATGGCCAGGTTCCCAAAAATACACAACAAGTAGGTTAGAAACAAAAAATAAATAGGAATATCTGTAGATTTGGATCATCTGTTAGTCCCAGCAAGATGAACGTTGTTAGTGCTGTATAATTCCTCATCTTTGATTCCTGACTATTGATTCCTGACTATGTCCTGGTATTTGTGAAAAATGAAAGAAGGTAGATTGGAAAAAAGGACTGTCAGTATGAGCTAGAAGTGTGTGCGGTGAACATGTTAGCTGAGCCACAATTCTATTTTGTTACCTGTTAATCAAGAATGCAAGTGGAGGCATAGGTTATTCAATGACTGTGCAGGACTCCCAGTGTTTTGTTACTCTAGACATCATCCATACGTCCTTATTATGCTGCTGTCAGTATCTTGATATAGTAGTCATCCAAGAGCAAAGGCATTTATGATTAACAACTCCATGGAAACAAGGCGATTTTACATGATCTGAGTTAATGAACAGAAGACACTCATGCACCATCTGGGTTTCATGTGAGTTAAACAGGGCTCACTATAATTAATACTGAAATCAAAAATATTCTGTTCCGCTCTTGCCTGTTTCCTCACTCTCTAGCATAATGCCACCTTGAGCTATAGAGAACTTCATATTTTTCTGCTTTCTTCTCATTCTAAACTCAACAAAACAGTCTCCAAAGTCCAACGTAAAAACAGAGCAAGAGTGTCTTTGAATCAAACGTGAGAATCCTTGCTCCTTTTAAAGCTATGGTTCCATTACCCTTGGAATGGCATTCAAGCCTCCTACTCTGGTTTGTAAGGTCATTGATGATCTCGTTTCTGTGCAATCCTCTTAAGGTATCTCTTGCTTCTCCATCTGCTAGTCCTCAGCTCCTTGAATATGCTAAGTTCTTTTCACTTTAGTGCTTATGCAATGTTCTCTCTCTTCTGTCTCTGTCTCTCTGCATTTCCTGCTTGCATTTGCATTCTTTCACTGATGGATCTTACTTTTCATGGTTTCAGCATCAATATGACCTCATCAAAGATATCTTCCTGGAGAGTTTTGCCTTCTATAGCCTCTTTCTGCCCAATATTATAAACAGAATGGCTCTATTTCCTTTAGGACTCTTGCTATAGTCTATACTTTTATATTAATTTACTTTTTACACTACCTCCTGCTCTATGGTGAGTCTCTTGAGAGTGCAGGCCATATCTATTTTGTGAACCACAGTAACCCAAGAGTAGCTGACACACAACAGACACTCAGTAAATTTTTGTTGGATCAGTGGCAGCAGAGTAGGGTCTTTGACAATCGGCTGACTGATGACACTTAAAGTGTAATCAAAAGTTGTGTCATCACACTATTTATATTGTAGAATTTCATTGCCAATATCAGACCTCAGCGATTTGAGACTATTTTTGGAGCAGAGCATTAGATATTCCATCTATATCTAACAGTAAATAAAAATGTATCATTGAAAAGCCATTGAAGCTGGTGCCATGGCTCACTAGGCTAATGCTCGTCCTTGCGGCGCCGGCACACCGGGTTCTAATCCCGGTCGGGGCAGCGAATTCTGTCCCGGTTGCCCCTCTTCCAGGCCAGCTGTCTGCTGTGGTCAGAGAGTGCAGTGGACGATGGCCCAAGTACTTGGGCACTGCACCCCATGGGAGACCAGGATAAGTACCTGGCTCCTGCCATCGGATCAGCATGGTGCAACAGCCGCAGCACGCTGGCCATGGCAGACATTGGAGGGTGAACCAACAGCAAAGGAAGACCTTTCTCTCTGTCTCTCTCTCTCACTATCCACTCTGCCTGTCAAAAAAAAAAAAAAAGCCATTGAGGCTGGCGCCACGGCTCAATAGGCTAATCCTCCACCTGCAGCACCAGCACACCGGGTTATAGTCCCGGTCGGGGCACCGGATTCAGCCCCGGCTGTCCCCTTCCAGGCCAGCGCTCTGTGCAGTGGAGGATGGCCCAAGTCCTTAGGCCCTGCACCCGCATGGGAACCAGGAGAAGCATCTGGCTCCTGGATTCAGATCAGCGCGGTGCGCCAGCCACAGCACGCTGCCCCATAGAAGTGATGATTCTGTTTTTGCTCATTTCTCCACTCAATTTCTTCTGAAGGAGTATGCCCAAGGCTACCTGAGACCTTGTCTCTGGATTTCTTCTGAGTGAACCCATCTGAGTTCATTGTGAAAGTTATAGTAAACAAGGGCCGGCACCGTGGTGCAGCAGGTTAACACCTGAAGTGCTTGAAGTGCCGGCATCCCATATGGGCACCAGTTCTAGTCAGGCTGCTCCACTTCCAACAGCTCTCTGCTATGCCCGGGAAAGCAGTAGAAGATGGCCCAAGTCCTTGGGCCCCTGCACCCATGTGGGAGACTTAAAGGAAGGTCCTGGCTCCTGGCTTCAGATCAGCGCAGCTCTGGCCATTGCGGCCAATTAGGGAGTAGAACTGCGGATGGAAGAACTCTCTCTATCTCTTTCCCTCTATCTCTCTCTCTCTCTCTGTCTCTCTGCCTCTCCTCTCTCTGTGTAACTGACTTTCAAATATAAATACATCTTTTTTAAAAAGGTATAGGTAAGAATGTGGCCTGCAAATAGGAGAGCTCAGGGCTTGAGACACATGTTAGCCATTGAACAGCACTCAAGCCTTGGGAAGTTCAGAATTGAGCTTCACTTTCTGACACATGAACTGCAAATACAACTATGTTTCATGAAATGAATATGAGAGGTGTGTGTTATTCTTAGCTCGCAGTGAACTAATTCTTTTGGGCTTTTTGCATCAAGCCTAGCACCAAGCAAATATTAAATAAATTCTACTTAATATTTCTAATTATTTCTTGGACTTGCTGTCCCACTCAACGTGCACGGGGTTTGCATACTCTTCCATATCTTCTCTTACCTTAGGCCTATATGTGCCTCCTTTATTGTATCCATGCACATCTTTTGGGTTTTCTGTTTGATTAAGATCAAGTGCAAAATTATAGGGTACTCTTAAGTCCTAAATCTGTCCATCATGAATATAATTGAACTACGTAGTTACGGAACATGTGCCTTACAATTTTCTCAATTCTTTTAAATTTGTAGTCTACAGCGATTACACATTCCTGTGAAATTCCCTTCCCACACCTCTCAGGTCAAACATTTTTCCTTGGATCCGTCACTTCCCACCCTCAGCAACCATACCGGGCATAGTCTCTCCTGAGCTTGTCATAGGACCTGCTTCCTTTATGCCACAGAAAATACTTCCCTTTTGTTCGCCCTAGTAATTTATCAGACATCTCCTCTGTATCCTGGATATGTCACACTGTCTGGTACAGACAAGAAAGGAATCAATCTGTAGCCAGTGTCGCGGCACAGTCACCACCTGCAGTGCCAGCTCCCATAGGAGCATCAATTTGTGTCCCGGTGGCTCCGCACCTGAACCAGGTCCCTGCGAATGTGCAAGCATCCGAGGATGGCCCAAGCCCTTGGGCAACTGCATCCATGTGGGAGACTTGGAAAAGTCTGGCTCCTGGCTTCAGTCTGGCCCTGCCCCAGCATTTGTGGCCACTTGGGGATTAACTAGTGAAGGGAAGATCTATCTCTGTTTCTCCTCCTCTCTCTCTCTGTAACTCTGCCCTTCAAATAAATACAAAATAAACCTTAAAGGAAGAGAGGAAACCATCTTTGTCAAATGGGTGCTAGGTTACTATAAATACAATGATTCAGGCCTGAAGAAGGCTATGTGAATAGAGACTTGTAAAGACGCTTACAGATTATTTTAGCCAGTCCTCTAATTAGGAAGATGTCAGTTAGAGAATCAGTGGCGACCAGGCTTATTAGGAACAAAATCAACAGAAGTAGCCAAATTTCTAAAATACAGAATTCATGCTTCTCCCCCACTGTGACAAGAAGAGAATTGTATGAATTTTTTCTTGGTTTCCTTGGTTTATACTCCCCCATTAAGAAGCTTCTTTCTCCCACTGTGTTTCCTCGTCTCCCAAGGACACCAAGTCAGTGTGTTTCAGCCCTTTTCCTTAGTCCACATATTTTGTTTAGCAAAGCTTGCTCTCTGTGCTATGGGAGATCTGGAAAATCCATTTCCTTAATGTCTTAGAAGCTGATAATTGTATTTATATACTCAATGCAGGCATATTTCTGCTGTTATGGAAAACCTAGTGAGGAACTCTAACAACAGAATAGCAGGTTTGCATGGCAGGTCCCACTTAAAACAACATGCTTTTGCAGTGCTAAATTCTCAAACCTTCTCAGAGAGTAGCAGTGACATCTATAAGGCGATTGTTAACTGCCAGACACTGTAGTATTTAAACATGTTAGGGTACCACATGTAATTCCCAAAGCCGCCCTCTGGGGCTGCATATGACTGAATCCTCCTTTTACAGATGAAGGAACTGAAGTGCAGAAATGTGAAAGATCTTGCCCAGGGTCATCAATTGAGGATTTGGGCAAACAGGATTATGAGATATGGGACTCTCAGGCACTGCAAAATGCTGCCTCCCTAACTGTAATTTGACTGATTCTGCCTTATTTTTGAGAAAATGGCCAACATCCTCTTTCTGATGCCATCAACTCACCACCAGGGGACCCCATGAGTCACTGTCCAGGGCTTTCTTATGGTTATTATTTCATGGTTTCCAAAACAGACGTGGAAAATGAGTATTATGAAAACACTGCATAGTGTTCAAAAGTCTTTATTTTTGCACTAAAATTAACTAATATTTTAATTAACTGGGAGGCAGAGAGAGACAAGATCCCCATCTGCTGGTTCACTCCCTAGTGCCTGCAATGGCGAGGGTCAGGCTGGTCCAAGGTCGGGAGTCAGAACTCCGTCTCAGCCTTGTACATGAGTGTCAGAGGCGCCATCATTTGAGCCACACCACCTGCTGCCTCCTCTCCTCAAAGGAAGCTGGAATCAGGGCGTGAGCAAACCGACAGTGTCTGAACCACTAGGCCAAATGCCCATTTTCCATACACTTTTGGAAGTACCTTCATAGGTATTTGCTTCCTTTTTTCTTTTTCTTTTTCAACTTCTGAAAATTACATAAAGGGAATCTCATGTATTTCATATATACAGATTAAAGAGCAGAATATACTTCCAGATTTCCTTATTCTGAGTGAGAGACTGTTGCAGATGTAGTTATTCTTTCAACATAACAAGTGGGGATCGTGATGCGGTGCAGCCAATAAAGCTGCTGCCCATTACTCCAGCATCCTATACGGGTGCCAGTTCTAGTACCGGCTACTCCACCTCTGATCCAGTTCCCCACTAATGTGCCTGGCAAAACATTGGAATTGGCCCAAGTGCTTGACCCCTGCATCCATGTGGGAGACCCGGAAGAATCTCCTGGCTCCTGGCTTTGGAACAGCATAGCTTTGGCCATTACAGCCACTAGGGGGAATGAACCAGTGGTTAGAAGATTTCTCTCTCTGTTTCTCTCTCTCTCTCTCGCTCTCTCTCTCTCTCTCTCTCTCTCTCATTTTCTCTCTCTCTTTCTCTCTCTCTCTCTCCAACTAAATAAATCCAAAAAAAAATAGATCTCTCTATATAAATAAATCTTTTAAAAAGAAAATAACAAGTAATTACATTTCTTAGTAACTGAAACATTTTTCCACTTTCAGTCCTTAACTCTAGGGCTTCCAATCTGCCTTATATTGAGATGTAATGCAGCCTTCCCAGGAGACCCCATATGAAAACTGTTCTGCAGTCTTTCACAGCACATTCTCCACAAGCTTGAAGGGCAGTGCTCCTGACACTGGAGTCTCCTGTTGAAAGTGCTGTGCCCATTTCCAACATGTTCCTAAACACACTTCAGAACTAGCCAACCCTGAATCTACTGAAAGGAAACTGACTTGCATGTTTAATAAGTGGTTAGAATACTGGGTACTTCCCTCCCAGGTACTGTAGAATCACTCAGCAAATGATCGATCACACTAGACCAAATGTTGAAGTCGAGACACATTCCTATTGCCCTTACTTGTCCTCTGATCCAGCCTCCAAATGCCTCACTAAGTGCCTCCAATGTGTCCTCAACCTGGCATAAGGTCTGTGCATGATAACACTACTATGACTTCTACTTTTACAAAAGATCAATAGTGATTAGTGTTCCAGTCGTTTTGGA